AAAAATATTGCAATGATGTTTAGGGCTAAACCCTTTCTAAATATATCATCTCTGAAAAAATTATATTTCGCCTTTATTCACAGTTATTTGTCTTATTGTAATGTTGTGTGGGCTAGTACTAGTCATACAAAACTAAAGAAACTCTACAATAAACAAAAACATGCATGTAGAATAGTATTTGGAGCCGACAGAAATGTTCCTTGCGAACCACTTCTAAGTGTGCTCGGTGCTTTAAATGTATATAAACTTAATTTACACCAAGTTTTATTGTTTATGTTTAAAACAAAAAAGGATTTGTCTCCTAAAATATTTCAATCTTATTTTAATAAAATTAACCATAGGTACTCAACAAAGTTTTCAGAAAACAATTTTGTTGTTCCAAAACATAAATTAAAATTAACTTCCTATTCAATTAAATACCGCGGACCTTATCTGTGGAAGAAATTTCCAGATATTGTTAACAAAAAGCAGACTACATTAGAGCAATTTAAGGATGAATCAAAACGATTATTATTGTTCATGGATCTCAATAAATCCGACTTTAAATGTTTATTTTAAAGTAAACACAATAAAAAAAAATAAAAAAAAATAGATTCAATAATATCAATGATATATGATAATATGAATAGGAAAAGAAAGAAAAAGGAAAAAAAGAAAAAAAAAAAAAAAAAAAAAAAAGAATAAGAAATCCAAGTGATGATGTCACAAGTGATGATGTCATAAGTGATGATGTTACATATTCATTTAGTGTTAATTATGAGATTTTATTTTTTCAATTTCTTTTATATTCAGGAATTTTTTTTTTTTTTTTATATATTAACTTATTTCTTAAACATTTTAGCAACTGTTAAGCATCTTAACGCTTCTTAATTAATTCTTATTTTTTATTTTTTTTTATTATATTAGTTATTTTCTATTTCATTTCTAATTGTTTCTTTTATATATATATTTGTATGTTACGGTTATGTAGAATTTTTAATGGGGCTCGGCGATAAGGCGAAATGTGCCTTCTTCTTGCTCCAGCCATCAATTTATAAAAATGTATATGCAATGTAAAAATTTTTTAACGGCGAAATAAATTACACTAAAAAAAAAAAAAAATAAAATAAAGTATACTCACGTCAGCTGAACTATGTGATGCTAATCTTTTTAGTTCAACTAAGAATTTACTTAAATTTTTACACTCATGGCAAATTGTATCATTAAGTGCTATTGAAATCTGTTGCATGTGTCTGTTGGCAAAATCACTCAAATCAATTATTGAACAGTGGGATAATTAAAGTAAGTCACACTGCAATTGAACTAAAACTAGTTTTCTAATATCGTTTGCTGCGTTTAAACATATTACTTTCTGCTCTTGTACTTCAAAGATAAATTTTGCAACTTAGAAAAACAATTTATATCCACAGCAGCAATATCATAGAATCCTACTAAAAATTTTCGTTAAGATGTTTTAATTGCATGATGTTTAAATATTTGCCACAAACTGCTATATCTGATAGCAGTTAGTGGAAAATACTAGTGTAAAAGTCGGAGTCGTGGAGTCGCAACATTTTTAGCGGAGTCGCTAAACGAAATCGCGACTCCGACTCCAATAGTAAACCTTCTCGGTATTGCACGTGCATTTAACCTTTAAAGATTTTTTTTTATATATTTAGCAAAATATTATTTTTAAATTATCGCGTAATATTTTTTAAAGAACTCAATTTTGCTTTGGAGTCGGAGTTGAAGTCGGAGTCGTACTCTGAAAATTTCAACATTTGGAGTAGGAGTCGGAGTTTGTTACTTTTTTTTTTACGACCTGTTTAAAACAATAATAGAGAGTAATCCTCGCATCAGTAAACTTCATTCTAAAATGGAAATGTACGAGTTCACCAAGTTTGCGTCAATGTCGTCATATGATTTTAGAATTAAAGAATTTGAGGTCGACAATATCGTCTGAGGTTTTTAAATATGAATAGAATGCTGATTCCATTAAACAATTGAAAAATGGAATAAAAAGTATTGTTAAATCGAAAAAAAGGACTACTAAATTGACAAACCAAGTTTATTAAACAATTTTACCTCACTATTACCAAGTCTTAAGAAAGTTAGAAAAGTGTGTACCTTGTACCAATATTTGACAATTTTTTGCGTTTTTCCATGTTATATTATATTTATTTATGGTATATTATGAATGTATATTTTAAATGTTTTATTGCTAAAATAATTATCAAGTGATCACCCCTTTTATTTGTTAGAGAAATTTGTGTTTTAAGTATCTTTCCATATGAAGTAAGCCTACAGAGTAGAACATCTTTAGACTAAAAGCTGGGATTGGTTTTATACTGCAATATTGACAAGCATAACGTAGAGTGCAGACGCTGACTAAGTGAAGCGGTGCCAGCATTATCACACTTTTCCGAAAATTTTTTTTTTTTTTTTTGCTTTTCTTAAATTCTTTTATATCATGTTCACATATACAGAGTGCTTTACAAAAGTACTCCTTAGATAATATCCTTAACTCTTATTAAAAAGAACATATTAAAGAGCATGCCCATGCCTTTTTTTTCAAAATTGTCTTTTAGACCTTATCTGAATATAACCGGGATTTTAGTTTTGGCTAAAGTCTTTTAACTGAGAACAAGTTTTTATATTCTACAGTCAATACAACTTTTTAATCCTATTGTATAAATAAAGTCCTTATAATTTAGAAACCATTAACTTTTGCTTTTTTTTTTACTGTACATCTTGAAAAGAGTGTATTATAAAATTATAAATATCATTTGCTATAAATAATGTATTGTGGGGTATAACTTCATATTCAGCAGTTGATTTAGATCTGTTTGAATTGATTTGAAAAAGATCTAAACTATGCCATCTATATGCCCAAGATTATAGCATAATTTGGGGTTCAATGTATTCGATCATGGGTGGTAAAAAAACATAACTAATTTTTTAATTGAGAATTGATAGCCATTTTTCGAGAAAGTGTATCGTTTTAAAGACAACCTTTAGATTACCTTTAAAACAGCATAAATTAACTTTGGCATCATCAGTGTCTATCATTGTGAAGATTACCAGTTAGTTTGCAGTTTAATACGACAATCCATATATAAAATACACATATATATATATAAAATAAAAATACACACTACAGTATAAATAAAGTGTTTTTCTTTAGAGGTAAATAAAAACTAAACTAAATTTAGTATATTGTGACCGTCACAAGGACTATACTCAGTTTTTAGGTATAAAAAATAACATTGTATTCTGTAATGAGATCAACCGACTAATGAATTCATTAATATTGAGCACAACCATGAAAAGTAAAAAATCTTTATTGACGCTTCAAAGCTGAGTTTAAAAGCAGTTTTTTACATATGGAATGAACTACGATCAATTCTTATTGGATATGGTGTTTGCATGAAGGCTATTTTTGACTATATTAACTGCAATGACCACTAGTAATTGATCTGTAGAGATCTAAAAAGTAAATACCATATTGCTAGGCATGCAAATGAAGTACACCAAATTTTGCTGCTTTCCCTGTGGGATACTAGAGCACGGTCTGACCGCTATAAAACTAAAGATCGGCCCTCCCGGAAGTTTTTACACCCAAAAAAAAGTGCGCAGCATGTTGCACTAGTGGACCCTAAGAAGATTTAGTTACCACCATTAAATATAAATATAAGACTTACAAAAAAACTTTTAATGGCAATTAACCAAGATCGTCAGGCTTTCCAGTACCTCAAAGAGAAATCGCCAAGACTGAGTGAGACCAATATAAAGGAAGGTATGATTACAGATAATGAACTTCTAAATGATGAGCATTTATATATATATATGTCTCTCTCTCTCTCTTTCTCTTTCTCTCTCTCTCTCTATATATATATATATATATAATATATATATATATATATATATATATATATATATATATATATATATATATATATATATATATATATATATATATATATATATATATATATATATGTATATAGCAACATTTAGTGTTTGCGACAGGGTTGGCAAAAAAACTCACCTTAAAAAAACCCAATAAAACCCCAAAAAACCCAATATATATTTGGTTTTTTTTTTAAATGTCCTATTTTACAACTGATAACTCTGATTTTAACACTAAAAAATGCTTTATTATCAGCAAGTACAACTTTTATACTGTAAATACTTTTGTAAGCACTGTATATATATACAAAAAATTTAGTTAGATTATTTCCAAAACCGATCTATCTGTTTTTGTAGCAAGTTGGTTATTTATTATTTTTTTTAAACATATAGCAAGTTATTATAAATGTTATTGAAATATGTATTAAAACATTAAATTAGTTAAATACTTATAAAGGAAATAAAAATCATTCTATTAACTAAATTTCAAAGTAAAAGACATTACTAGTTATTTAGTATATTTATTCTCCTCTCGAATGTCTATATTTCCAAACAAGCGTTTTATATATGTCATTTTATATTGGTATTTGATCTTTTATTTTTTAAAGCTTAAGTTGTAAACTGCAAATTTCAGTACAAAGTCACAAGCAAAATACTATATATAAAAATTGTTAAACTTTATTCACAGTGTAGAAATAGAAAGTTGTCAGGCCAAAAAAAAATTATACAGTTAATGCAAAAAATGCACAGTCCCTTTGTTTAAAAATTTTAGTTGTTAATGTTGTTTGTTAATAAAAATGGTAATGTTAAGGATTGAGACAATATTTTTAAAAAATAAGTTGCTCCCTTGACTGAAGTGGTCATTGGAGCAATAGGAAGGTGAATTTATGAAATTAAAAAAAAAAATTATTGTACACATACAATTATAAAAAATGGGTTTTTTCGGTTTTTAAAAAAACCCAAAAAATCCATAAAACCCAAGAAAACCCATTTGGGTTAGGTTTTTTTAAAAAACCTGGATTTTTTCCAACCCTGGTTTGCGACTATCTAGTTCTTACAGACAACGATTTTTAAGCAATTTTTTTGAAAAAAAGGAACAAAGTTAAAAATCATGCAGCAAAAAATTACACTTTTAAAAAGAAACAGTAATACAAAATCATTCAAACACTGATAAAGATGAGACCGCAAGATGTTGCTTCACATTTATCTCATTCACAATTGGTACTTCTAAAACAATTACATATACTTAAAAAAATATTTTTTTTTTTTAAAAAAAACTTTTATTTTAAAAACATAACTAACCGTTAGATTTTTGTAAAACGCAACCACCTGATTGGTCAGAAGTTTTGCAATCATCAATAAAATTCGAACACATTAGCTTACGAGGACTTCTTTGACATATTGTTGGCTTGATACCAAATCTATCTATATTATTGCAAAATTTTTAATATACTCGATGAACCAAATTCTACAAATTCTTATTTTTCAGCTTTTTTTATTACATTATTTAATTTAAGTTCACAAACAATTTTCTAAATAAATATCTACTTGTGTGAAGGTAATTACTTTAATTGATACAAGTACTACTTAGTAAAATAATTTTAAAATATATAATCTAAAGAAATATAGATGATTCTAAAATATGTAGATAATATTAATTTATATAGATAATCATAAAATATAAAAGATACTTTCAGGTATCTAGAAGTAATGTATAATAAATTAAAAGAACAAAAGAGTGTAAGAACAAGTGTACGATGTTAAAAACTTAAGTAGATATTCGAAGTATTTGCCCTTATTATCTGTATATACTTTCAATAGTTCTAGATACTTCTGCAACGTTTTTAGCTACTGTTTTTTTTTTTTTTTTGCTGTTTTGGCGGCAATCTCAGTAATTTGCTTTTTTAGGTTTTGAACACCTTTATGGTTAGTCAGGTTATGCTTGATTTTGCTAAAAAAAAATCCAAAATCACTAGGTGCCAGGTACGGCGAATACAGTGGATGGTCAATTATGGCAACGCTATCGCTGTTTTTAGTTTCACCAACATCAGGGTTGGCGTTGTCATGCAAGATTTACATATTTTTAGTGCATGACATTTATCACTGCTTATAAGTAACACAAACAACGGAGTTTTTGATGTAGTTTTGAGAACTTATAGTTTTTAAAAGTAATCAGACAGTGAACCAAAAGGAAGTCTGTTTATTAAAACATGACTGTAACTGCATATAGGCTGAAATTGGTCTCGTCGGACAATTGTTTTCAGGGATTCTTTTTTTTACCGTACATAAAAATATTTATACTTGACGTCTTACCTGGGTCGTCTAACCGTTGTTGATGTCGATTGTTTATGTGCGAACGTATAATATCTTCTGCCTAAAAAATATATTTGCAAAAAAAAAGTTTTTTAAACATTTCAAAATTTTAAATTAAAAAAACTAAACATAATATTAGAACTTTTACTTTTTTAGTACAAGCTATCGTGTCTTTGTTTATGAATAACTCTGTTTCTGTTATGTTGTTCTTGACTGCCTTAAAATATAACACTTAAAAAATATAACACTTAAAAATTATCTTTTATTATAGCAAATATAATATTCTTTTATGCCATCGAAACATTCCCTTTTATTTAATAAAAACATGGACTTTCTTATAAAAACATTATACTACATAACCAGTAATGATTTGTGAAAATCAATACCAAAATTAGATGACTAAATTAAATTACTGATAATTTTTTTTTTTTAATATTTACTTTCACTAACAAAGTTGCAGGTTATCACAACTCCGTCCGGGAGTTACTAAGAAAAATGATGAAAATAGCTAAAAGAACAAAAAAAATGACGAGGGAAAACGGCGTATTCAAAAGCTGCGCGAGAAAAAGGAAAAAAAAAACACTACCTCTAACTTAGTAAATGTGTTGTTTTTTTTTTAAATATCACTCGAGTTTATTCAACTTTATTCTTTTACTCAAGTTATTAAAAACTAATAGTTTTTATAAAATTTAAAAAATATCATGAGAGGAAAGCAAGTTAAAAGAATTTATTATAATTTAAGCTTAGCGTTAAATTTAATGAAGCAGTAAAATGGAAAAATGAATAGAGAAAACCGCATGAGAATCAGAAAATCAGGTAAATTGTAGTCAAATTTTTAGACTATAAACACAGAAACACGATACTGGAAAACTACATTAAACAAAACTGTGGAACCAAAAGTTCTACATCAATAAAAAAAATTAGCAAGTGGAATATAGAATATAGTAAGAAAAAATATAGAATATAGTAAGAAAAAACTTACTTCAGTAAAAAAGCAAAATTCGAAATATAAAGTTGCTAAAGATATATATATTAAATTTATTTTTCAATATTCTTAAGATATTAATAATAAATTTATTTTTCAAACTATTGTTTTAAAGTTCAATGAAAAATCCAAATATAAATTATTTAAACTCGTGTTGCTAGAAAACCTCATTAAGTCTCATAAAATAGTATTGTTAACGTTCTGCAGACAACAATCGCTCAACGTGGTCAAAAACTAGTTCGTCAAAACATCTCAGCTGAACGAGGAAAAATTGTTACTATGTGTGCCTATTTTATTAATGCAGTTAGAAACTTTATACCAATTGTGTTGATTTTTGTTGTTTTGATGTTGATTTTTCTCTTTTTTCTATATCAAAGAAATGCATTTATGAACGATGATTTGTTCCTTAATGCATTTCAAGAAATTTGACAAACAAACCGTATATTTAAATGTTTAAGAAATACCTGTTTTATACACAGAAGAATTAAAAACATAAGAATTTGGGAGAATTGCTTTAATTATATACGTAAGGAATAAATATTTAATAACCAAAGATGGCCTAACTATTAAAACATTTATGATTTGATTAATACAAACAGACAACCCTACTATACTTTTAACTATAATTTGACTTAATTGTATTGTTTTTGGAAACAAATTCCAATAACAATACAATCAATTAAGCTTTCGATTTTTTTTATTTTCATCACTGTAATATCATGCATCAACTTATAAGCTAAGTTTATGTTGTTATTTGTATTTTAAAACGGATTAAACACGAAAAAGCGTATAACCTATAGCAGTATAGTTTACCCAGTGCAATTAAAATAGTGTGAACACGAAATTAGACCAATGAAAAAAAATGACGCAAAAAAGCTTGAAATCAATGGTGCACGTGCTTTTTTTTGGAGGTATCAGTTTCAAAATCTGTCGAAACCTTGAAAATAAGATGTTTTACTAAAAAATTCAAAATATAGCAATAATTCACTTTTTTTTTCAAAAATAAATGCAAGAGTTCCACTTCAAACGCTGTTTCAATTAAGGCAATTCTTCGTTGAATCCTGGAGATTTTTGTTTAAATCCACAGTTAACAGTTCAACGTTACCCGGGCCGTCGAAAAAAAAAAAGGTCCTATATCAATAATATAGGGAAATTTTGATAAATAAGAACGCCAATCAGGGTTGCTGTCGCAGGCAGCGTAACGGCTCTCGGCGGCCCTGAACGTTATCTTTTGTTTTCAGAATTAAGACGACCAATGGACGTCTGAACATCCACTCGACGTCCGTCGGGTGTCTTAGGACGTCCAATGCCCACTGGGCCACCCTATCTTTGAATGAGTTTTTCTATCTTTCTATCTTATTTAAGTTATTCTAGTTTGTTATTATTAAAATAAACATTCCGCAATATTTTTACATAACATTAGAGAAATAATTTCTTCGTTATTCCTTATTCAATTAAACTAGTTTGCATAAATTTGGTAACTGTGATAATTTATAAAAGTTTATAAAAACGAAAAGTAAATTAAAAACTTTTATAATCCACAACTTACTTCACAATCAAATTAGGCTTAGGTGTTGCATATATTTTATTAGTAACAAGGTTATGACCCTTTCGACGTTGAAAAAGAAAAAAAGAGAAAAAGAAAAACAAAGGAATTTGATTTAAAGAATAAAAAAGATTAGTTAAAAATAAAAGTCAGAGTCAATGGTGCGTTTAAGTTTCTATATGATTGGGGTTATGGTTTAACACGAAACGATGTCATGGACTTTGTATGCGGTTATCTTCTTCGTACAAATCAATCAGGCCTATTTGAAAAACGGCAGTCCTGGCAAAGATGGGTTTTATGCATTTATGGTCAACTTTTTAAAACTTATTTTTTAATTTGATTAATACTTCGACAAGTTACGTTATTAATAATGCAAAATTTTTTATTACCGTTCTACTTTATTAGTGCATTTAAACATACTTGAAATAGTTCTGTGTAATATTGTATATATGTACTATATATACATACACACATTTATACATACATACATACATACATACATACATACATACATACATACATACATACATACATACATACATACATACATACATACATACATACACACATACATATGTGTGTACGTAACTTGGTCTACAAAATGATATGGCGTCCTTTTTTCCTTCAAACCTTATAACAGCATAAAATCCCTCTGCTAATAAATATTCAGAGGTTGCAACCTGTCTGGATTACATATTCCTTTAGAGCAAATAGAATCTAATTCATAGATGCTTTCATCTAAATAGTTGTCAAACTTTTTTTGCATGTGGGCTTGTTTTTGATGGAAAAGTGAATCTTCAAGTTCATAATTATCATCATATGAATCATTTTTTTCAGTAAATAAATCTTTTTATTTTTAAAGTTTAACTTTTTTCTTTCTGTATACCATCAGATTGTTTCATCATAGTTTATTATGTTTTGTGGCAAAACATTTTTTATAGTATCTTTTAAATTGTTAAAAAATCTATTTACAGAGACACATGAAATTGCAACACGCTTTCTACAAATATTTTGACATTCTCGATAAGACAAAAGACTTTTATGCCGCTTTAAAAATGATCTTACCCAATCATCGCCAGGCAAATTTTCTTTAAAACACGGGCAGTCTCTTCCAGATTTGTTAAGAAAACTTTGTACAAATAATTTAATATCTATTTTATCAAATGCATAGCCAAAAGCACCAAAGTTGCAATGTTTTGTGCAATTGACATCACCTCGTCTGGTAGCAACGAACTCTTTTCACCAACCAAACTAGTTTTACACCTTAAAGTTCTGTGTGGTATGTTTAGTAGCCTTGCCACACGTTTACAAGGTTCTCCATCATTAACAAGTTCGCCCTTTTAAGTTCATTATCTGAGTAAGTTTTTCACTTTTTTATATCAAATCTGATATAAAAAAGTGAAAAATATGAGCCAAAAACTCAAATAATTTTTATGTTTAAATATTAATTTTATATCAAAAATATTATAAAAATAAAAACCAGTTAATTAATAAGGTGCTCATATACACCATATAAAAGTGCTCAATTACTCCACCTTACTTTAAACTCCTATATTTTATAAACAATTCATTTTTAAACTTGAAAACTAGTATGAGTTTACTTCAATATATGCATGGTATGCTAGAGAAAAGTTCAAAATTCTAAAAAAGTTTTAACTACAAATGCTTACCCTTAGTGTAGGTACGTACGTATCTAGCTTTTACGGCACTGATTATATAGTTAAAATCTGTGACCTTTATATCAATTTATAAATTTCACAGATTTTAAAGTATAAATCTGTCAAATTTATATCAACTTATACTTTATTTCAAAAGTAGAGTGTTTTAAGTTTCTTATATTCTTTGTTTTTTTTGCAAGTAGTAACGTTTTTAGTGATTTTATTGGCATTGAAAATTTCGCAAAATTTTACAAAATAGAGTAAAATTTTACTCTATTTTGACACGTAGTGGAGGTACCAAATATTTTAAAATTGGTTTGAATAAAAAGTTAAGCGATACAAAATAATGCGCAAACGAACAATGAAATATATTATAACAAAACTACCGTTAGCCGAACGCGAATTTCTATACTTGGTTTCCACAGTTTTCTTAAGGAATCCTTGTAATGAAATTCTAATATTTAAATGGGCATAACTTTTTGTAGAATCATTGGTATTTATAAAATTTTTACCATTATAATACTAAATTAATATTTTGAGTGCCAAAGATGCATGCCGTCGATCGACCCATGATCAACAATCGTGAAAGCGCATAATATTGCGGAAAAAATTGTACTAATAATGAATGTAATAATAATCATCTTTGAGGAATAATAAGTGGGTTTCTGAATAAGAAACTCAATTAATTTTCCGAGCGTTATGTTTAATGTTTTAAAAAATTCTGATGGTGAATTGAAATCACAACTATTAAAATTTGTAACAACAAGGTCTTTAACCCCCTCCCCCTCCCCCCACACACACACACTTTTTTTCAAAGGACTTTTTTTTTTTTAAAGAAAATTCTTGATATAGAGAACTTTTTTTAGAAATTGACGATTGTGCCCCCACCCCCACTTAGAAAACCGTGTCGTCGGCCCTGATTACTGTTGCTTTTTGCGTTTGTTGCTATTATTCAAGTTACTTATTTTATGTCTCATCATAATATTTAAAAATTTTTGTTTTCCTTTTTATTTTCTCGTCATCCTTTT